TATATATAAATTAATAACATATACATAGATTTTTCTAGGCTAAGCTTGGACAGAATTTTATAATGGACTCGCGTATATTGGGAAATTTATTTTTGATAAATGTGATTCCTTCCGATGATGCAAGTTACAACTCGATTCGATATTTTCTTCGCTCGCTTCGATATTGTGCATGTTATATTAAGTTACTCGTATTTTAAATTTAATTCTAGTACATGTAATTCTAAATTCGTTGTAAAGTGTCCTTTTTTACGTCACGGCGTGCGTCCATATCAAATGCTGCATAAATGGTTTTTTACTCTAATTATAGTTCTAAAACATTGCTTACTTAATTCGAGTTCGCAGACTCTGAGCTTAGTTCCTAGTTTACAAAGTTCCATTACTATGCTCAATGTATGTCATACGAGTAGATGTATTCGCAAATGTATGAGTTTACTGTGGATTTATTTCAATTCTTTCTGTGTTGAACGATGTAACAAATCTCTATTGAAAATTCACAATTCCATGCGTTATTTTCGAAATTTTAAATCGTGAATTACGTTTCTCTGCGGTATGTGTTGTTTCGACGATAAATTTTGTACGATATTGAGTCAGCTTGTTGTTACGGTATATCACGTTTGTAAGTAGCTTAACACGTAATGTAAGAAGATACACATAATATGTCAGATTTATCGCAAAGTATTGCTGTAATATAAGATAAGAATTAAAAAGTTGTTGATTATTTATCTAATAAAAATTGTTTTATTGCCAAAGAATATCTTGGTATGCACGATATCGTGCAGTGGCTGTGTAAATAATAATTGTCGAGGTGGCGTTTTTATTGGTCTATATATTTGCGTGCTGAAAAACACCTGTGTGAATTGGACACAATTTGAAAAAGTATTAGACACGTAATACTTGTATAAATTTAAGAAGCTAAAAAAATATTTACATAAAATATGTAAATATTCATGAATACATAGAACGTATTCATGAATATTTACATAATTTTCTACTTGGCCTTGTCGTTTTACTACTTATACTGCATTATATACAGGATACGCTTGAACGATTTTACGTAGCTAAGAGAATAATGTATTTTTACGAGACAACACCGTGTTAAGAAACGTCAATTAATTGATATATCAAAACAATATGTTGATATATGATTAAACATATATATTTATAAAATAAGTGATATTACTATATGATATTACTTCAATAATTTGAAACATCCTGTATATAAATGTACATACGTGTATACTTTTTAATTTGTTATATTTTCGTTAAAATCTCTTATACGCAATAAGTCCTCGTTATTTTTTCACCTTGTGTTGCGCACGAATTATTTGTTGTATTTAAGTGACATTGTATGTAACCTCTTAATGTAATAATGTGTTCATTCTTGTATCTTATTATATATTCGTATATTTATATATATATCTCTCTCTCTTCTTGGCACACAGAAAACACAAGTATTTTGGTTTGTTATCTCTTCTATGGCAACGGAGATAGGGAGAGCAGAGAGAGAAGTCATCAAATCAAAAGGCGCTTATTGATGTTTAGTCAGCGGGGAGGAAAGTAGCGTGTATTCCATTTAAAAACGTTTCTCGACTCGAAATTCTCGATCTAACAAAATGTTTTTCTGAAACGTGAACACACAGTTTAGAATTTGAGGAGAAAATTTTGATAAACGTAACGAAACGTTAATCAATATCGAAGATGATGAAAAAAAAGAAAAAAGCGCGTAAGGAAAAAAAAGTACGAAAAAAGTGTCTCAACGAACACGAAACAGTGTCTTACGAACAACAGCTCTTAGACAACAATAGACAATTGTCGCGGTATTTATTTGTGAAAAATAAAAACAATTTTACGCTGTAATTTTATTTTCTATTTTTGCGCTTTGACTACACAAAGTTTTTCGCGATGCTGTTTCAAGGCTACGCAGTCGAAATGAAGAACTCGAGTGCGAGGTGAAGGATTTGACAAACAAATTCGAGCAGTTGCGAGATGATCAATCCGACGTTGTGGCGCATTTGAAACGTGAATTGGAAAGGAAGATAGAAGAGGCTCGGGAGTTGGGCGAGCGTTTACAGGCTCTGGAAGATCTGAGAAAGACGGAACAGGCCGAGTACAAGAAGAAAGAAAGCGCGATGGAACTCGAATATCGCACCATGGAAAGTAATTTGAGCGCGGAAGTAAAACTCGCAGGTAATGTATCGGTAACATTCGGCGCGCGAATGATACAAAAATATGATAAAAGTTCGCATTTTGTTACTTCACACACAAGCCGGGAAGCTGAACGCGCTGGAAGACTGGAGATTGGCTCGCTTGGATCTGATGCGCAAATTCGAGGTCCAGGAGGAGCAGATTGAGAAACAGGAGGAATTGCACAAAACGCAGCTCTTCGAAACGGAGAGATCGGTCATTATCGCAAAGGCCAAGTAAGTGACGTTCCGTTGACAATTTCCGAACTCTCTCTTTTAAAAAACTCAGAAGATACGTTTCGCTTCTGGCCGATCACGGCGTTTTATTTTTGCAGAATGCAAAAGGAAATGGAAGAACGATTGAAGCAGCTTGCGCACGAATTTAAGGAAGCGACGAACATTCGCATAGCGGACGTGATGCACAACGCGATCAGAAGAAACGTCGCGCTGAATCACGAACTGAACACGATGCTGAAGATCTGTCAGGATCTGGAAATGCGCAGCACCGAGTGCAAGGACAACGAGCGTGTGCTGAGACTGCAGTGTGAATTGTTCGAGGAGGAGGCCAGACTCGCGCAGAAGGACATGACGAAGAACAGACACGTGATGCATCAGGTCGCGCAGGATTACGTGAACATGGTCCTTGAGTACGGGCGTGTGCAACGCGAGAACGTTAAGCTGCAAAATTACGAGCAACTTGTAAACGAGTACAAGACTAGATGCGCTACGTCGACGGAGAAGATAAAGATTCTCCAGCAACGTTTGGAGGAGACCAGAAAAGCCAAGGAAAACGTTCTGGCGGAAGTGCGGAGTAAATGCAAACAGTTCAATAAATTGAAGAAAGTTTTGAACGAGGCCAAGAAGTGCGTTTTGGAAGTTTTGCAGGTGTCTCTCGCATGAAAATGTTTATTACAAATGCAAATTTATACCCAACAGAGAGGTAACATAAATTCTTTTTCACAGTTACAAGAGCACGTCTGCACGAGCGACGCCTGTCCCGTGTGCTGTGTCGAGCACAAACAAAAGATTTTGCACATGCTCCAAACCATATTGGAAAAACGTGATATTTCCGACGTACTCAAAGACGATGACTCGCAGGAGAGCTTGGATCATGTGAGAAGAATTCATGAAAAATATCCGTAATTAAAAAAATACACATATGTATACATATGTACATTGCAATTTTTCAGATAAAATCGAACGGGTCTCAAGACACGTTACTCGCTGAGGAGGACGTAGAACAAAGCGCTGCAAATATTGAGGAATTAATGCTTCGTTTGTGAACAATATGCATTTACAATCGAATACACGCAACAAAACATATTGTTTTAGCACAATCGCAGTTCGGCTTGCACCAATACGTAGTCGTGTTTTAACGTGTTAAAATGATTACGCAATAAAACACAGAAGTGCGTATGCGCAGAGCGAAGAGCGCCTTGTCGCACATTGTTTTTCCGAAGCAAAACTTGGTCCAATCGTTCAAAAGGCTCATTGAAAGGCGCGTTATCCTTTGAAGCGAAATTGCACATTTCGTTATCGATGTTTCGCAAAAAACGTTTTTTTTTTTTTTTTTTTTTATCATCAAAGTAGAGCAGCTACTGCGCAAAGCGGCGTTCGTTGCAGAGGTTACAAACTGACGCACATACGTGAGCCGCACCTGAAATCATCGTGGGAAAGTCACATATCTATAAATCACTGACATTGGCGAGGCGGAGCTTCATATTCGCGCCGTTCGCACCTACAATCGCGCGATTCTCGGCGCACCCCGCCGATTCGTCGCGTGACGAGAGATTCAAATTCGTCACGCTTTTCACACGCTCGATAAAAAAAAATGACGGTGTTTCTCGGCCGTGATTGTTAAAAAAAAAAAACATCCAGACAGTACTGAAAGCAGCAGGAAAAGGGATAGAAGAGAACGGAAGGTGGCAAGATGAAGAGCGCAATTTCGAACGACGATTTGGAATTTTGGATGACTCGGCTTCCAGCGCCGCTCAAAGACGTACCCATAATTCACTTGGCAATACCCGGTACGTTCAAATAGTTCCGCTTGATGCGCAAGTATGTAAAAATTCCATAATACAAGTTGCGAAAGTAATTTTTTATTTCCGTAATTGTCTGATTTGCGATTGATCGTATAAGCGAGATATTGTTGTCGTGAGACACAATGCAATGTTTTTGCTGGGAATACAAACGGTATCGTAAAAATTATGTGTAATTTTCCGACAGGTTCCCACGACACCATGACTTACACGATTGAAAAACGCAACGACGTGGGGCCGGACGAGCCCGCCTACATCCGAACGCTCGGTCGTTACTGCTCGTTTGTCGCTAAACCCATTATCCTTAATTGGTCCATTACACAACTCGACGATGTCAGACAGCAACTTAACGGAGGAATCCGATATTTGGATTTGCGCGTTGCAACGAAACCGAGAACCGGAAACATTCACTTCCTTCACGGCTTGTACGGCGCGGAAGTTGGGAAGCCACTCGCGGACGTCGCCAATTGGCTCACCTCGCACGCGAGCGAGATCGTCATTCTGGACTTCCAGCATTTCTACGCGTTCACGAACGAGGATCATCGTCGTCTGATCGAGACGATACATCACATATTTCACGGGAAACTGTGCCCGGTCTCGTCCAGACTTGATCAAATGACGCTGCGGTCGCTGATCGCGAGAAGGTGTCAGGTGTTCGTGATTTACAGAAACATTTGCGCGCAAAATCACTCGGATCTGTGGCCGTCCGGACTCTGGCGTACCGTCTGGCCCAACACCGTCAACGTTAACGAGCTAATCGATTTTCTGAACGTCGAACTGCAGAGCCGTGAGCTGGACATCGCGTTCGTGGCGCAGTGCCTGTTGACTCCGGACACGTCCTACGTTATGAAACACTTGTGCGGCACTCTGCAGAGAGATCTGGTGCCTGTTTGCCAGAAGGCCGTTCTTCCTTGGATCAGTCAGAAACGACCCGGCCGCGGCGGCCTGAACATAGTCATAGCGGACTTCGTGTCGGACAAGAACTTTCTGTTCTGCAAAACGGTCATCGAGTGCAATATGAAACTGCTCCGCAGTCCGGACGCTTTCTAGGCTACAAAAATTTCGCACATCTCGCTTTATAAACATTGTTTTTTTTACTAACGCGTCTCGCTTAAAGCTCTTTCTAACTAGATACGTTCACCTGGCGTTCCACAAAAGAAGTTTCACTACTTGAACAAGGTATATCTCTTATTAAAGCTTACTTTATTTTATATATGTATATATATAGTTTTTCTTTTTTTTTTTTTTTTTTGAACTCTTAAGAAGTGTCTCTCTTTGAAACTTATATACTACGCGAGCGACAGAGCTCGAACCTAATGTACGTACTCAGCTATGCGTAATTCGAACTATGGCACATTGTTTGGAAAACAAACACGTTTAATTATCATTACAGATACAATAAATAATATATATATACGTTCTCACTTTTTTTTGTGTGTGTTTAGGAGATAAGTTCAAGACCAGTTTTTTATATCACTCCACCTTACATAACGGATTAATATACAAGATCGTAGAAGAAGATAAACACATTTGAACGAATGTACAATGATTTTTATAATAAGGATAATAAATTATTATCACACTAGTAAAGAGTACGTGTCTCAAATATGGAGAATTTCAATGGAATGTTAGTATGGATCTTTTTTTTTTTTTTCTTGAGCGTAAACATTACTTAAACGCTAATGTTAAAAAAAGGGGGAACTTGTGTCGTATCGATTCATCAGAATAATATATAGTTACGATAAAAGAGAATTGTAATGTATCACTTCCGTGCGTGTGCGACACGCGCGTGAATTTTTTTTTATTGATTCTTCTCTTTCAACAGGAAATGTCATCATAAATCTCTATATGATATTTAAGTATATAAGCTGGCAGTAGGGCAAACAAAAGTATATATATGTATGTATATATATATATATCTGTCGCGCAACAAACTCGAAGGATGTTGATGTTTTTTTTTTTTTTTTCACGGTTGTTTGTACTTTCTTTCAATGAGAGTTCGATATTTCGTGTGCAAACTGCTACGTATGCGCGTACGTGTGAAACCGATGGAATAAAGTTAGCGCGTTGGTGTATTATATTTCACATAAATGGATTTCTCGCACAAGGTACACACTTTCCGAAGTAACTTTTACAGACGTTTTCTCGAGTATTTAACGGAGATAAATTCTGACTTTTTTTTAGAGCACGTGAAACTCGTTCGCTTGGTGTCATCTCGTCATAAGGCCTTCACCTTGAGTTGCTTCATTCTGGGAGCGCGTTTCTTCGCCAGTCTTTTCTGCTCCTTTTCCTCCCACTTCCGTTGTTTGTCGGGATCCTCTTCCTGTAGGATCCTTTCTTTCTCGGCTCTGCGGCGCTCCTCTCGTCGTTGCGCCGCAGCTTCCGCTCTCGCGGCGTGTGTCGTCTTCAGAAAGGCTTCCTCCACTTTCAGTCGATTTTTATCGGCTTTATTTTTGCCCTGTGTGTACATACATTTGTTGATTTTGATTACGAATATCTTTCGGAAAGAAGAATTATCTTTCGCGATAAACAAAAACGCGTACAAACCTCTTTGGATAACTTAAAACGTCGCAACTTATCGACTAGATACAAAGTGAGCTGAAGCAAGAGCTTCAGTTTCTCTTGGGTCTCTGCGTTAGCCGTTCGGCCCTTGAGACTTATATTCAGACCCACCAGCAGCACCTTTTTTACTCCTGGCATTGTTAACGGAGTGGTGTCTCTGGAACGAGGAAAAGGAACCAACTGTCAATATTCTTCGCTCAATACCGAGAGATAATTAACGCATATTTTGATTCTACTTACTCCTGCTGTTTACGCCCACTGTACTGATCGCTGATGTGAATGTAATCTATGTAAGGTGAGAATTTCGAGAAGGCTTGAAGAACTTTGGAGTCCAGAATCGCCGATGTGGCTTCTGCGATTTCGGACATGACGAAGAAACCCGACGGAAGACCGAACTTTTCTCCGGGTCGTTTTTCCGGACAGAACACGCTGATATCAGCCATATCTCGCACCAGGTGCATCGCTGTCCGTTTTGTAGCGACCGCTAAAACGAAATTGTCCACCTCATCTTTTGAGAGCTCTACATGTATGTGGGCTTGATCATTTTGTGGACGTACTAACTGAGCCAGTACGGCGACCAGGTCCTGCCTCTTTATCAGTTTCAACTCGACGAGCATGGACTCGCAACCGACGCGACCCGAGCAATACAGATTGTACTGGGACTCGCTCTCCTTCATCAGAATATTGTCTCGCGGATTGTCGCTCGAGTTATTCGAGTGACTGAGAAGGGAAAAGTTTTCCGACAAGAGCTGCGTGTGATCCGCCAGCCATTGCTCGGCGATACGAGCGTTTTTGGAACGTCCCACCATGTAATTTATGAAGTATACCACCAGCCCCGCGACCATCAGTATTTCTAAATAAAAGCTCTCCCATCTGTCCCACGGGTGCAGCGGTACCTTCGTGATTGTCAGCGTGGATGGTTCGTCGCTCTTGGACCCGGAACTGCCCGCGACATCCAATCCTTCGAACTCCTCCTCGTCTTGAAAGTGATCGAACTCGCTGTCAGCGTCCACAACCAGGACGTCGTCCTCCTCGAACTCCTGACTCGTCTCCTCTTCGCGAGGTAGCTCGGACACGCGTTCGGCCGATGCGATCGGCTTCTCTTCCTCGAACTCCTCGAATTCCGCAAATTCATTGTCCTCGGACACATCTTCGTGGAAGTGCGCTGTAACCCACAAATTGGTGGCCACTAGTGTGATGTGCACCGCCACAAGCCACAATTTCATGTTATCTGAAACAGTAAACAATTAACAAACATATATGTATATATAGCACACGGACACAACTACGTTTTGTCTCATAATAACAACATATTTTTGTGAAAAAAAAAAAAAAGAAAAAACCTCTCCGACACCGTTCGTTTCTGACACATGTGTGGATATTTGTATTCGTCGAAAAATTACAGACTCGGGTGCAATGACTCACCGGTGAGTGCGTGTTTATATCTGAGAAGCTCGAGTACTCGTCATTGATTTCGAAGTTATCGAAGTGTCAGAAGTAAAAAGCACTGCGACACCACTGACTGCATCAGACGTAGATGACTCCGCATTGCTTCCACACGCCACGAAGGTGTCACGCGTGTCTGACGTCACTTCCTCAATATGAAGAAGAGGTGTCCGCCGCATTGTAAATAGGTACGTATCTAATAAATATGTACGCGTGTAAATATTTATAATTTATAATCAAGCATTTCGCGCGTACTGACTGGCAACTTTATTTATTGTTTTTAAATAAAAAAGTCGCACGTGTACACGTTTCACGAACAAAAATCACACATTATCGCACGGATAAATACTACAGACGTTAGAAAAAACAAAAAAAAAAAAAAAAACAATCAAAGGAAATCATCGCAAGCCCGCGACGTCGCGGGAAAATTTTATCTTCATTCGCGAGAATTTCATAATTTTTTATTTACACAACACATTGCACAAAGTGCAAGAGAGCGGTTCTTTCTCGCGCAAGAAGAACAACGCCGATCGGTAAGGCAGAATCCGAATCGGGCTGAAGTAAGTCGACTTTCCCGACTCGTTTTCGAACGCGTTCGATGACGAAACGAGATATCGATTCGGCGTCCCCGGCGTCGCGCAGACAGAGAAAGAGAGAGAGAGAAGGAGACTTGCTCGCGCACGTTTGACGTTTCCTCTTCGCTCGCGCGTCTCTCTCTCCTGTCAAAACAGTTATTATGCGATCGCTTTGGCGTGATCGCGCGAGTAATCGCGTATGTTCGCGCGTGTGACCGGTCGACGCACGTTTCTCGCCGAGAAAAAATTAAAAACAACTTCCAGAAGAGAGCGGCGGTCTCGCGCGCTGCGCTGCCGCACTGGGAATCGATATGCGTGAGGAACGACGGGCAACCCGTTGACAACAAATCCTTGGGCTAAAACAATGGATCAATACCGATACCTTGCGGCGGAGGGCAACTCGTAGAAACGGTAATGTGAAAACCAACCACACACACCACACGTCGCTCTTTCGGCTCGTCTGTAACGTAATTCGATGTAATTTTTCCGTTTATGTGTCATTGTCCGATTGACGAAACACAGCTGACCTTCCCGCAGAAAAAAGACTCACACACCCGTCGGTTTTTCCGCTGCGACGACGCGCACGTATGTACATATTTAACCCTTAACCCTTAAGCGACGACGTTAATATCGTCAACTTCAGCTCGCGACGACGTTGCGTGACGCGTGGTGGAACGAGAGTTGGTTGTCGCCAAGTTTTTTTTCGACTTTTGAGATTTGTGTTTCGAGCGACAGACACAGATTTCCGAATCCGCAACACACCGCTCCGAATGTCACTTGATCTCTTTTAGAGAAATAGAATTGAAAAAAAAACGCACACAAGTGGAGATTCTTATATAAGCCCTTTGATGTTTGTTCTTATTGCTAAATCTTTTATAATCTATATGTCGAGGTTGAAAATAACATGCTATTTTTCATGCAGATGTAGTTTTTGTTTTTTCAGTATTGACGTAGAGTCTCAAATTTGATGTTTTTATTGCAAATCTTTTACTACGACATACTATAGTACACGTCAAGGTTGAAAATGATATGCTTATTTCACAGACACACAGACGTAGTTTTTTCCAATATTAATGTATTCCAAATTTTTTAACGAGATCCTTCGTTACTTTTGTGATAAACGCGGGTACAGTCGAGCGAATGAGAGGATAAACTGCAACTCGAGTTTTTTTCTCGATACTTTATTTTCTCTAAAATAAAACTATAATAGATTTTAATGAAGCGTGTCACGTTTAAAAAAGATACAGTTGTTCTTGAAATAAAGTATCCCGAGAATGCAGAAACACAACAGTCCCCGAAGAGAACGAATAAGAAATTTGTTGAAACACAGGAAAGTTCGAGACTAGGGTTGACGATAATCACTTTGCAGACGAGAGCCGCCTGCTTCGCCGGCCATGGAAAAATTGGACAACCAGCAGAAAACCTGGAAGAAAAAAAGCATGAAGTCAAGCGCGAGCGCCGAGGTGGCGACCCAGTGCGTGAAGGTGGTGGTGCGATGCCGGCCGATGGACGAGCGGGAGACCGCGCGCGGTTACACCCGCGTGGTCGACGTGTTCCCGTCCAGAGGCGTGGTCGAGGTGCGTCATCCGCGCGATGATCCATCCAGCGAGACCGTCAAGATGTTCACCTTCGACGCGGTATACGACTGGAATTCCAGCCAGCAGGATCTGTACGAGGAAACGGTCAGGCCGCTGGTGTCGTCGATACTCGACGGATTCAACGGCACGATCTTCGCGTACGGGCAAACCGGGACCGGGAAAACTTACACTATGGAGGGCTCGAAGACGGATCACGAGAGGCGCGGTATCATTCCGCGCTCCTTCGAGCACATATTCAACCACATCGGCCGTTCGGAGAACATGCAATATCTGGTGAGAGCCAGTTATCTGGAGATTTATCAGGAGGAGATACGCGATTTGCTGCATCCCGACCAGAGTCTGCGTTTCGAGCTAAAAGAGAAACCGGACATCGGGGTGTACGTCAAGGATTTGTCGACCGCCGTCTGCAAAAGCGCGGCGGAGATACAGCATCTGATGAACGTGGGTAATCAAAACAGAACGATCGGCGCGACGAATATGAATGAGCACAGCTCGCGATCGCACGCGATCTTTCTCATCACGATCGAGATGGGCGGCATCGGCGACTCCTGCGGCATCAGGGTGGGACGTTTGAATCTGGTCGATCTTGCGGGCAGCGAGAGACAGAGCAAGACTGGCGCGTCGGGGGAACGACTGAAAGAAGCGAGCAAAATCAATCTGAGTCTGTCGGCCTTGGGTAACGTAATTTCGGCGTTGGTGGACGGCAAAACGACTCATGTGCCGTATCGCGATTCGAAACTGACGAGACTGCTGCAGGATTCTTTAGGTGGCAACTCAAAAACCATCATGGTCGCGAACATCGGTCCGGCCAGCTATAACTACGACGAGACTCTCACGACTTTGCGATACGCCAGCCGCGCCAAGAACATTAAGAACAAGCCTAGAATAAACGAGGATCCGAAAGACGCTTTGTTGAGGCAGTATCAGGAGGAAATAGGTCGATTGAAAGAGAAACTCGCGCAGAAGAGTTGCGGCGTGCAACGAAAGAAAAAGAAATCCAAAAGAAAAAAAGAAGACGAGGCGATCGACTCGGAATCCGAGACGGAGGACAGCCGCGGCGAGGACAATAAAACGGTGGAGACTGACAAGAAACTGATAGCGGAGCAGTTGAAAGCTGAGAAACAGGAAACCGAAAATCTCATACAGAGAATAAAAGACCTCGAAAGCAAGATGCTCTGCGGCGGAAAAAACATAATCGACCACACGAACGAGCAGCAACGTGCGCTCGAACAGAAGGCGGCCGAAATTGCTGAACGCAAGAGACGCGAGGTCGAGATGCAGCAGAAGCTCGAGGACGAGGAGCTGACGATGGTCGGCGTGAGAGAGACCTACACCACGTTGCAGCAGGAAGTGGACGTGAAGTCCAGGAAGTTGCGCAAGTGTTTTACGAAACTGCAGGCTCTAAAGCAGGAATTGGAGGACGTGACCAGCGACTACAACCGGGACAGACGCGATCTGGAGCAGGAGCAGCACGAACTGATGAAGGAGCTCAAGCTCAAGTACCTCATAATCGAAAATTTCATTCCAGAGGAGGAGAAGACCAAGATTCTGTCCAGAATTCATCTAGACGAGGAGGAGGACTGTTGGGTGGTGAAGGATTCCGTACCATCCAGCGTCGACAGTATCAAGCGCCCGACATCGATACCGGGTGCTCGAAGACCGATCTCGGAGTACGCGCGAATAGCTCACGCGATGGGACGGGGATGTCGTTACGCGGGCGAGAACATACTGAACCTGGACCTCGACATGCCGGCACGGACGACCCTGGACTATCAGGGACCCGCGATCGCGCCGACGATTCAAGCCGTTCTGGAGGAGGCGCTGCGCGACGAGGGCGACATAGACGTCGATGCTTCCAGCACCAGGCTGAGAAAGCCGCGTCTGCAGTCGGCGCGCGTCAGACCGAAGAGCGTCACCAAGATGCAGCAGATTCCCGCGCCGGTCTATCCCAAGATGAGAGGCCTCGTACCGAAATAAAAAAAATAAAAAAAAAATAAAAAAAAAACAGACAAAACCCCGATTTGCGCGCTTCTTTCTTTCGTTTGTAAAGAGGAATGTATATATTGTATGAACCGTGTCTCTCGTACTTTAATTTATTGAACAGAAAAATACGTCTTTGTAATTCTCTAGTCATTGTGCAATTCGTGAAAACGTATATGATGATACTACGTATAAACAATATCGCCACGTATGTAACTGTTGTTAAATAATACGATATAAAATAGATCTTCATTCAGCTGAAATCTCTCGATCCCTCGCTTCTGATCAGATCGTCAAGGTACCTTAAAGAGTGAAAGAGTTGAACACAAGCAAGTGGCAGTAGAAGGAGAAATGTGTAAGAAACTCTATTCTTCTCTTTATTTTAGTTCCTCTTATGCTATATATATATATATATAATCCTGATTATATTCGTTTTTCTTATAAAAGAACAAATACTTTTAAAGCTCGTATATTATAATAGATCTCGGTTAGCAAGTTTCGGTCGCTCCCAACGCGCGTCTTGCTTCTCTCTCTCTTCCCGCGAGAAAGTTAGAAATTTCATTTCAAAATTGTTGATGAAAAAAAGATTTGACGCTAAAAGCAAGCATTTGCGAAAGAACTGTGCGAAAGAACTGTGTACTTGACAAAGGGCTGAAGGCACGTTGAAGGCACGCATGCCTTTCCATCTCTTTTTCTGCATTATTGTTTTTTCTAGAAAGATAAATTCGTCTCTCCCCCGCACACGCGTACATATCAACGGTCCCCGGTTCAATCGCGCGCTTGTTAACCGTGATCTAGCGTGATCCTATTATTAATAATAAAAACACTTACAGTATACAAGTATTGCTCATTAATCAAAACATATATAAATAATTAATTTACAAGTGATGCTCGTTAATGAAAAAAACAAAAAAAAAACAACGCAGATGATGCTACGTTCTTGCTACACTCGCGTTAGATGTCGCATTGAATGTCCTGAAATGTCGTTGGTGTAAAGTATTTTTAAAGGTGGATCTATATACATGTGTGTGTTTATCATATTGTGTGTGTGTGTATAGAAACGGCTTTTACACCAAATAAAAAGCAAGCTCGCCTTTGTTATCAAACATCGCCGTTATTCTCATATATACAACAACGACATTTTTATTGTTTTTTTTTTATTTTTTTATTGGAGATATACTATTATAATATAGATGTATATAAACGATATATATATATATATACATATATATGTGTATGCATATATATTTTTTTCTCACTTTGCATCAATTATTTTTAAACAACGTGCATGATATAATTATTCGTCAATTTTCGTTCACAAGTTACTTACTTGTCTCCTACGTTAGTCGAAATCGTAACGGTATTTTGTATGTAAATAGTACACGTTTCACTTTTTCGTACTTGTGTGTATTAAAAAAAAAAAACTCACTTTCAAAATATGTACACATGAAATAACACACAATTGAATGGGACTTTCACTGCACACACTCAGCAGCATGAAAGCTCCCGCTCCCCCTTGTTCCACGAAAGTGGAAAATAAACACTCGACATAAATAACAACAACGGGCAAAAATTAAATTTTCACGTCAATGTGTTACACAACCGATAGACAAAAAACCCTACGTAAACAAAATACATACATGTATCGGAGATCTGCGCGAGTTTGTCACGTGACAAATGAACGAATGTGATGTTCGCGCCTCGCGGCGATCCTATCGACGGATTTTGGACTTCGTCGCACTTGTGAAAATGTACGAGGACGAGATCCGATCGTGCAGATTGAATAAAAATTATAATACTTGTAAAGAAAGATTGCGCAATATATCCGGATAACTTTCTAAGTACAACTCCCTAGTCGTTAGACGGACAAGTATATCGAAAAAAAAATTTGATTTGTTCTGAAATTCGAGATGTGCGCAACAACGCCGAAAAATGTGTGCAAACACCGCGCGCACACACGACCAATCGTGAAACAAATTCGCACACATCGACACCGTATAACACGAATATCTCGTTAAAGATCTCACTTTGATCAATAAAATCGCTGTTGCGACATGTAATTGTCATACGTTTGCGGTTGCTGAACGTAACCAGTTGGCGCGGATTGCGACGGAGGATAAGTGCCGTAAGGCTGCTGAGGTGGAGGATATTGGTTCGCGCCGTATTGATTCTGATTGTTCATGTTGCCGTAACCCTGATAATTGTAACTATTGTCCACGTATCCCGGTGGATTGTTAGAGAACATTTGCGTGTGTTGATAATTCGAGAATTGCTGACCGGACACGTTCGGATAGGTGGTCAGTGGTGGTTGCGTCTGCGGCCGCGGTGGTTGCTGATTGTTCGGAATGAAGTTTTGATTGTAAAAGTTGGAGACGCCGGGAGTCGGCTCGACGGAACTCGGAGCGGACGGCGTGACGACACTGTTGGCGTTCAAACCGTGCGACTTCGGTACGAATTTGTTCGGCAGGTCGCACATAATGTTCGCGATCAGCCGTTTGGTCTCGTTCAGTATCGTGTTCGGATCGCTCGACTTCAGAACGTCCTTTTGCTTTGTCACCGGCGAGCGGGATCTCGACTTCGACCGCGATCGCGATCGCGACCACGATCTCGGCGACTTGGAGAACGAGCGAGACTTCTTAGCCTTCTCGTTCTCGCTCACATTTTTACTCGCGGCTTTGTAAATGTCCTCGTACGTGTAATCGTCGTCATCGTCGGACAGGTCTATCTTGGTTTTGGTTTTCTCGTCGTTGTCCTTCTTTTTCTGTTGCTCGTCCTCATCGTCCGCAAACATGTCCAGCTTGGGTTTCCACTTATTCCTGTCGTCTAGATTCGCTTTACGGGCGGAAAACGGGGATACGCTCTTTCTGCCTTTAACGAACTCGACGTCCGGGCTCTGTCGTGTGGGCGCTGTCACGCCTAGGTTAACGAAGTCTCTCAGTTTTTCCACTCTCAACGGATCGCTGGCCTCGAGTTTCTTCAAAAACCCTATGAGACTGTGTTGTTCCTGTGTGTTCAGGTCCTTGAACGTTTGTAACTTCGACTTGAGTTCAGCGTCCGTTAGATTCTCCATTCTGGAAGCTGGTCGTTCTACGGGAATGATCGGCGTAGTTGTTGGCGGTGCGACGGTGGTGGTCTCTGTTGTCGAAGCAGTGGTGGCAGTGCCGCAACTCGCCAAACTCTTCACAAAGTCGGCAGTAGTGACAGGCTTTTCGGAATTTTTCGACGCCTCCGCCATACCAACTACAGCGTTGATGAGAGTTTCCAATTCTTCCTGCGAAACATTCGTTCTTCCTTGTGCGACTAGAGCCGCGGCAATTTGCTCAGCAATAGCGACCTTGTCAACCGTACCAATACCCGGAACACTAACTGGTTCGGATTTCATGATAGATTTCGGAGCGACTTCCACCGATCTTGAGAAGGTTGTTCTGCTGATGTAACTGGGTTTAGTCGCTTCTAGAAGCTCTTTCTCGCGCTCTTTCTTCTTTTCCTCTTCCAATTTCTTTTTGCTCTCCGAAGCTTTGTGCAGCAACTTGGCGATGTTCTGTATCGCCGTTTTGGTCGCCGTGACGGCCATTTTCTCCACCATGCCAGCGAACAGCTGGCCTTTGAGCTTTTCTTTAACAGTCTCGAATAACACGCTCACTTCTTCGTCGTATAACAGTTCCTCAGCGGAATTTGGTTTTGCCTTCTCGGCCGCCAAGGCTTTCGACAGAAGAGACACTACTTTAGGACCGAGAGAACCTAACTGACCTTCGAGAGCTGTGAGCAGCCGCAATAAACCGACTATCTCGAGATCATCTTTCAACACCTCTTCCGCGACGGGCGGAGTGGGCGATTTGTCCTTTACGGGATAAGGTGTCGCGTAATATATAGGGGCTCTGCCACGTGTTGCTGTTCGCGGATAGTTGCGAGCATACACGTTTCCTCTTGCGCTCGTGTACGAAGGATATACATATTCTCGGTCTCTGTATTCGTGGCGATCGTAGTAGTCAGACTTCAGTACTTTCGTGCCAACGTATTCTACCTCGTCGTCGCTCTCTGGACGATGTCGACTGCGTTTCGGAGAACGTTCTCGCTCTCGTTCTCGTTCTCGCTCTCGTTCTCGTTCTCGCTCTCGCTCTCGTTCTCGTTCTCGTTCCCGTTCCCGTTCCCGTTCCCGTTCTCGCTCCCGATCTTGCTTCGGAATCCATTTTCCGGGTGGTTTATCCTCGGGCAATTCCAATCTCTTCCTGATCTCCTCTTTCCGTTGCTGCAACTGCTCGTTGTGAATCTCGCGCATCCTCTTGTTCCAAAATTCAATCCACTCCGGCTTGAAGTCATGCTTACTCGGATCGCTACCCTCAGCCTGAAGCTCTTTGTATCGTCTGTTCCAGAATTTCTTCCACTCGTCTGGATAAGACGGATGCTTTTCGGGATTCTTCTCGTGGAACTTCAACGCGCGATCTAACGTTTCCTCCGCGCGTCTGATTTGCTCGCGGTACTTGTCCCATTTGTCGCGCTCCCTTAAAGGAGGCACCGAACGCGACCGCGATCGCGAACGCGTTCGACGTCCACGATCGTGCGAGTGACGCGAGTGTCGCGATGTGCTACGATATCTCCCCACGCTTCTCTCGGTGCTTCTCTTCCTACTTCCCCGTTCCGGCGAACGAGATTTCGAGCGAGACGGCGACGGGCTGCTCGATATGCTCGAAAGCGACGAGAGAGATTTAGTATCGTCCGAAGGACGTTTCGGTGATTTATTTAATTTTTCTTCGGGTTTTGGCGTGGTCTTACGAAAATTCGTTTTGTCCTTGTTAATAATGCGCATTTTGAAGATCCTAAAATAAAAGAAAATGTGTGATGCGTTTTTCGAGAGAAATTCAAAGACATCGTTACTTAAAGTTACACTTTTCTCCTAGAGCGTCGCAAAAAAAATCAAATAAAATTATAAAGTAAAAATATATATTTGCCGGGTGATTTGATAATATAATATATATATATAGTTAAGAAGAATTTTTAGATTTTAATCACATCTTGCATTAATTTCAGATTATATTTTTTTTTCTAGAGAAAAACAAAAATATATAGGTATTATACAATATATTGATGTAAAATCCACTGAAATATTTCATGCATTTTTTTATCAATCAATTATCAATTTATAATTTGTTGCTATTTTTACTGTTTACTTACGACTTTTCTTCTTTAGGGTCTGATTTCTTAGGCGATTTTTCCTTTTTCTTTTCTTCTTTTTTAAATTTATCGTCAATCTTCTCATCGACATTGGAATCTTGAGAAATTAAAAGACAAATTAAAAACATGCGTGCCAACATTTATATTATTACATGAGTAACGTATCTTTTTTCTATTATACTCACCTTTTTTTCTATTATTACCATTCATTTCTGCCATTTTTTCTTCAAAATTCGTAACCCATTTCACATCATAAACTTCCATAAACGTACACTCTGGTGTTTCCCTATATACAGGAAACAGCCAAATTGGTTTTTGTGATAAAATGTATCAAACAGATAATCGATTGTTAGAAATCTTAAAACGTATGCGCGTGTTATGTAAAAACATAACAAAGTTACGGAGTTTAGGAAAAAAGTGATTCTAAATAAATAAAGTAAGCAAATACATAAAAAAAATTGAAACTCAATTCAATTTTTGAACAAGAAAATAACACTAGACACAATCGTGACTTCAATCGTTAAATAAACGTCTTAGACTGCACGATTTGTTTCGCAATCAAAACTGGCGAACAATTCGTAATTCGATAAGGTTTCGCGCTTATTTATGTGATTTTGCACTTCAACGGACCCGAAAGAGATATATTCTCGTCTAACACAAGAGAACCGTTACTTCGACTTACCTAAAGTGCACGTCCTGATAGACTTTCTTGATGTACTCCATCTTATTCTTTTCGTACTGGGCTTTGTCCACCAATTGCGGTTGCATTCTTCCAAATTTCTTTTCGATCTTCTTCGCCACTAACACCAATATTTCATTGGCCCCACGCTTATAATTAGGAGTACGCGGTAACTCCGTAATCGCTCGCGATATAGTTGGGAAGTGTCGATTGAGATAGTTGATTCGGTGATTGTAACTGGTAATGTGGGCCATTACCGTGCGCGGATCGCCACGTTTGTCGCACAAAACACACGTGTAATTCGGCTCGCATGAGTCATTGTCCACTAACTCCAGCAGATATTCCAGACCGACCAGTGGTGAACTTTGATGCCGGTCCAAGCTAGTTTGTATTGCCGTGGTTCGGACTATCTGATCTTCCATACCGGGTGGCACCGGTTCGCCGGGCGCCAGCGTATCGGCGATGTTCGTCGTCTGAACCGGTATCTTGCTCGTTTCTGGTCGCTTGGACCACAGCATAACTGGATATGGCCATTCGTCCAGTTTCATTTTGTGACGATTGCACATATTGTGGCTTACTAGTTTGTGAGCCCCGAACAAAGCAACGTTACAGATATGACACCATATATCACCGTTCTCGGTCTCGGAGTAAACAGGTCTTAGTACACCATCTTCGGCGGTGACGCTGGATCGCATAATACGCTTGCGATCGTATTCTTCCTGCAGAACATAAACGATGAGTGTAAAACAGACGCGTTCTTCCGATGTCGATAATCTAGACAATTGGTGCAACAATAAAGTCGCGACGCGCAAGCTGTGTTATATAACGGAGAAAAATAAATTCCTAAAAGCGCGTATTTGATTTTAAGCGTATATTTATGAACGCTTAAGATCATTTTGAATATTTGTACAGTACAAACTCTAGGGGGAGGTGGCGTGATGATATTTTTCTCAATTGTATTTGTACTTGCTGCATGCGTACACTACACTAACGCGTAACAATTGTTTGTTTGTTTGTTTTTTTTTTTTTTTTGGTTATATTTTACTTGGTTTACCTTTCCTTTTTCTTCGGATAAGTGAGGAGTGCGCCCCTCAATGTCAAGATCGTCAAAGTTCTGCATGGTGTGTGGTCATAAACTAGCAGGTAAAAAAACTCCACAAAATTTCCTGAAAAAATTGAAACATTCTAAGACCAAGAGAAGAATGACGCTGAGACATCTAAGAGGTAAGCAGGACATTGGGATTATATAATTGCTTACAACAAAAATAAATTTTCAAGTGCTGACAGAAACAAAAGACTGTACAGAAAATTTTATGCACACATATATATATATACACATATATATGTATATATACATATATATACATATATACGTATATATACATAAATGTACATGTTGTAAGCAAATTATATTGTTGGTAATTTGTTACTTAACATTATTACTTAATTGCATTTATACTACATATATATGTTAATTACTACGATTTAGTGTGGAAAAAATTTAAATCAGCCGTACTTACTTACCATGTACCACTGTTACATATGCTAATATATAACATAATGTAAGTATTTATGAGTATTGTACAACACAATTGATGTGTATATGTCAGAGAGATTTGTTGTAGGATATACTTAACTTTGTTTTAAAAATTCTAACAAAATTGTCTTGTTCTTGCATTTCTAACAGAAAAAGTAGAAAATAAATTTATGTTCAATATGCACATGTGAGAAACAATACAAAACAAAAGATACAAATCTGATGATCAATATTTCCAATAGGTTTCGTATAAGTTTGTTCAAAGAGTTATGTTCTATATATTTTTTATATGTTAGTTATATGTTGTTCAAAGAGTTATTTTCTATTCTACGATTCTTTATCAACGTAACGATACAGACCATGTAATATTTGTAATTTAATATATTACAAAAATATCATAAAAATATTTTCATAATACATATTGATGTTACACAATGATTACAGAGGCAGATCTAAAGGTATCTACGCGCAGACAGATAATATACAAGAATTACAAATGCTTTGTTGACATTGAATAAGTGATTTATTTTCGGCGTACGATTCTTTAACAATATTGCGCCGCTAACAATATTGTCATCTATTACTTTTTGTGCCGGAGCAATTCTCCAGCTTACTTACCGCGAGACAATCTCTCAATATCCTATTTGAAACCGTTTTTCACTACTACAGAATCACAAATGCCACAGAACCAGAACTTAAAAACTTGAAACCGATTTTTCCCGCCGGAAATCGAGGGGCAAAGTTAGAGATTTTCTTTAACTTCGCCAAAGTGGTAGGTTGACTGGCGAATTGACAGGAATGATATGCGAATGTTGTCGACCAACCGCGCAACAACAATATGCGCTTCGCAACATTCCGTTTTGTTTTGACGGAAAATGCACAGTTTTTGCTCCGAGCTCAAACGGAATGATCATCGTGACCAAATGCAATCTAAAGTGGGAAGTGTGTGTTTTTTTTTCCAGACTATTTTCATTTTCTTTTCGAGACTTTATTTGACACATCGCGCGAAGTCGTTCGACGAGGAACGACGGAGGTTAGAGAGCGCTGACGTTAATACGTAAATTTTCACAGGAAGCAATATCGCCCGCGCAGCATCCACGAGACGAGATAAACGCTACAAAAAGCGAGAATTATTTTCACGATAATTTTAATTGAGTTGCAAAGTTGAGACAAGAAGCTTTGCTTCTCTAACGGTAGCCATCGTGTATCTCTTTCTCTCTCTCTCTCTCTCTCTCTTTCCGACATCCTCGACGACGTCGATTCTGAATCACGGTTATTCTCGTTACATCGTGACACTCGCGAGCATTGATAAGAGCTAGACTTACCTAAATGGCCGGGTCGTTTACTCGTTTGATGAATTTCTTTCGTCGCGCGCGTGGGATTCTAACAGTTTTATCTCTGCTTGTTTCTACTTCAATTTACGAGCAAGGCGAACCGTCGGAACCATCTTTCTTCGAACGTGCATGACGTGCGCTCACGCCATACATATAAAGCCCCTTGCACAATGGAAGGAATAGCGATAGCGATAGAAATAACACAGTTTTTAACACAAAATTCCAACTCGTCGGAAATTTTATCGCTATTGCTTATTCCGATTTTCTGATCTGCATTGATACATGTGTAGTTTTGTATGTTAGATTCCGCTGTTCCTACCTTTATTTTTAAATATAAACTCTTTAAAGCCTCTTGCACAAT